ATAGTTGAGGGGTGTGCTTGCTTTACTTCTATCTTCAGTTGTGGATTGTCCAAGGCATCTACAAAGTGATCCCTCAGCAACAACTTGAGGACATCGGGTAGCGCAGTTGGGTGTGCCTTGTGTGCCATACTTTCCAAATCCTGTGCCAGCTCTTTCAGGCTCTCCCCTTTAGCACGGACTGTCGTCCTAAACCTAGCCCTGTAAACTTCAGACTGATTTTGAGTTCCGTACCTGAGCTCTAGTGCCACTGTCAGTGCTCTATAGTTGTGCCTTACCACTGTGCCACTGGGGGGGGGCGCAGTCGTAGCCAGGACGTACACATTGAGGGCGCAATGACAAACTCAAAGGGCGCGAGTACATTGTAATCATTTTCAGTTTTCGTTATAAATTTTTGTTATCATTTATTGATGTTCCTTATTAATTCATAAGCGAATTCACTCATGAAAAAATCATTGATATCCGACAACAAGAGTTTAAGGTAGGTATGAACTGATAGGTTAATCAAAACATAAAGCACGAGTCAGTCTCAGGGAAAGTTGATTGGACCTTTGTAATTAATTAAAGCAATGTAAACCAAGTCCAAATTTTGTTATTAAAACAACTGTAATCGTCTATTCTGAATAGAATTGAAGTCTCTCAACATCTTATGCTTCCCATCAACACTCTGACATATATCAACAAGGATGCATTTCTCAAACCTATGAGGATCAAGTTCGCCAGTTTGTCATGAGACATGGACTGACGGAGATCTGTAAGCACATTTGTCAGAGCAGAAAAAACTCTTTCACATGTTGCAGTTGAGGATCCAATTGTTAATGCTGCCTCATACAGTTCTGTAATGACTGGAAAGCCCCTTGATTTGAAATGGAAAAGCTGTTGCAAAACAAACACCAGGTTATGTTTGTCGTTTTTCCTCCAGTAGTCACTGATGTATTTTTTGGCAACATCAATTTGAGCCAAAACAAGGCTGTCCGTTTCAAGGCCGATAAAGTCTGCGAGAAATCCCATCCGGTCTTTGTCAAATAAATGTTCTGATTCAGGATCTAGTGACGTCATGGCATGAATAAAATGCGATTTTTTCTCCGAGAAACGTTCATCAAGCTCAACCAGGATACTGTCAATTAGACAGAATCACGATCGTTTGAGGTTATCATTTCCTGACAAATTGGTGTTATCTCTGTGTAGTCTATGAAATCAGAGTTTTCACGACGTCTTCTCTTTTCTGCAGGCTGATGGTCTTGTACTGTTACACTGTTACCATCACCTGCAGTATTTTACAGAATCAGTTTAACTTCATCCAGCAAAGTGGTAAATGTTTCATCGGTTCTCAACAAAACAACGGATGCTTGCGAAAACGATATCAGCATCAAGGCCTGCATCAGATTGATACTTACTGATTGTAGTTGAATGTTGACAGGTGCTAGTATACTCAATGCTTTGTGGACAGCTACAGCATGGAACAGAAGGGTTTCTTTTTGATCAGCTTCAACAGTCCGATTGCTTCCATCACTAATTCAGGTAAGAATGTGTCATTCTCATTTGTGGCATTGTCCGACAGAATCGTCAAGATAGCTTTATATGAATCAGGCAAATTTATAGAGGGCGCATTGCGCCTCCGTGGCTACGGCACTGGGGGGGGGGGGGGTCATGGTCACAAAAACTGCAGCTCAGATTATCTCTTTCTGTTTTACGATATTATTACTTTTGCCTTGTGAAACAACTCTATATAAATTTATTTTGTCATGACGATGCAGTTTAGTTACTTTCACGTTTTTTGCAAGCTTTTATAAACTGTCATATTAGAAAACTTCAAAATTTGACTTATTGTTTTAATCTTATGACTTTGAGAGAATTGATTTTAATTTGATTTCGACGTAAAAACAAACAATTTTACATAACGAAAAAATATCCTCGTTTCACTTAATAAATTGAGCAAATCCATTTAAACACAAATCCAAGATGAAATTTTCGTTATTTTTGGATGGTCTAGAAATAATATTTCTGTTCTTCAAGGTGTTAGGAACAAATATGTATTAATCTTATAAAGTTCTGATTATATAGTTTTAATCATATCGTTGGCTATAATTGTGCTCAACTTATTATTTATTGTATTCTAATAATATATTAAATATTTCTAGACAGTTTGTTATATATTGTTGTCTTCATTAATATATGTTCTTTGCTAATTATTTTACTTCTATTCACAAGATCTTAGTGGTTAATACCCTATTTTTAGTGAATATTAAATTGGTACTATAGCCGCATTGTTTTAAACAATATTTTAGTGCAAAGTTACAATGGGCTATCTGCTGTGTCCACCACACGGAATCAAACCCCATATTTCAACGTTGTAAGTCCGAAGACTTACCGCTGCCCCCCAAGGTACTGCTTTAATACCCTTTCTTTTAGTGAATACTAAATTGGTAATATAAACGCATTGTTTTAAAGAATATTTTTAGTGCAAAGTTACAATGGGCTATCTGCTGTGTCCACCGCACGGAATTGAACTCCATATTTTAATGTTATAAGTTCTAAGATTTACCAATGTCCCACCAGGGTAGTGCTTCAAATAACTTAAGAATAATTTTAATTTGCAATATCTTAGATATGACAATACAAAATCGGTGTTGTAAAAGTGAATAGGATTTAACTCTATCAAGCGTGGGTGTGTCGACTTAATGCAGCTGTTGTATATGTAGTTTGTTTCATTGCATTTCGAATAAAAACTATTGGGTGAAATACTTTGAAACTATAGAAAAACGTTTTACAGATTGCGTAGCTTCTGAAACCATCTTGTTTTTATACATGATATTTATACGCATTCACAGCTTTGAAATTTCGAAAACATTCAAGTGGGATATGTTTTTCAAGAAACAATTTAAAATATTTGTAGTAAAGCACAAAGCTACATAATGAACTATCTGTCCAGTGTCCACCATGAGTATCGAAACCCAGTTTTTAGCGTTATAACTCCGCAGACATATGCCCGAGACACTAGAGGCTTAATTAAAAATGTTTTATAGCGCAGCCACATCGGGCTATCTGCTGTATATACCACCGAAGGGAATCGAAAACACTGATTTTAGCACTGAAAATCCCAACAAGGGACAAATTAAAAATGCTCACCATTTTGTATATTTTAATCATCGAGTTTTATGTCTATCTACATTATTTTAAACTTTTCTATAGAATTATATTTTATCTTTGTTATGAATATAAAAGAAAAACACCACACGCAATTTTAGCGTGTTTACAATCAGTGGTGTACACTTATATATTTTTTTATATGTCAGGTTTTATTAAGTTATTCAATTCATGCATGAACTGGTGGTTAGGGCATTCGACTCGCAAGCTATGGGTTGTAGGTTCGAATCCCACTTCCTAACATCTTCTTCGTTTCTTTTTTCAAGTGTGAGAGAACGAGTAATAACTTATTTTCTATGATTTTGTTAATTCCATGGTGCAATTTTGACCTCAAGACTGGACGCACCCATCCAGTCATGACAGTGTTAAGATTATAACGCAGTTTCTGCAAATGAACTTGCCGTCGTTGGGAGAAACTTGCTTTCCACCTTTCTATACTTGCTGTGACCAGAGTAAAGCTTGTATCCAATCGTCATGTCACTTAACAGGATATGGAAAATCTCCATCTAGTGACCAGAGAAGCAACAATTAAAACATGGACTTTGTATCTCACAGTCGAAGCATTTTCAGGATAACACCAATACACCTTCAATCATTTGTGGTAGTATATCTGTTGCTTATTGATTTGGTCGAACCTTGGAAAGGTCGTTTCAAAACCAAATCACTGTATTGTAGAAGACATTGGTTCCATATTTTTCTTCTTCACCCTCTTGTTCAACGTTACCACTTCACCCCACAGATACTTGATTAATCAGATTCATGTTCTGCTACACAAGATCACTTGACAACCCGTCTATACTTGCAAAAATAATCTCGTCACAATTAGTGTTACACCCTTATATGAAATCTCCCGAGACTGTCAACGTAAGTAGACAAGTTTTTGATGCCAATGGGTTTGTCTTATGGATTACTTGGTTTCTTTTTAATAGTCTTTGGCTCAGTTTAGTGATAACAGTGTCTCACGCTTCGTGTTTAATTGAATTACAATCACAGCACGGAACAGGACTATTGTTTATTTAGAAGATACATTTTATCTACAGCACATTACATGTTTAATATACAGAGGAACCAGACATATATCCACTGTACAACACTTATGGCACTCTTATACTCTACGTTCGAAATTGAAGATAGCTAGTGACGTGCGATATCTTAAGATCGAGATTTCCGGTAAAATATACTTTCATTCAAGTCGAGAATAAATCCTCTACGAAACTTAAAAACGTTCATGGCAATCGCAAATCAGTTTTTAGAGACTATATGACAATCTAACACGTTTCAAACTACACATTTCTACATATCTTCCCCCTATTTCCATAACTATCGGTCAGTAAATCTACAAAAAAGTATTTTATTATATAACCAGGAAGGATATTATTAAATGTAAACAACCCATTCATATAAACAACTTTAACTTAATAATTTCACCAAAATCCCCAGAACCCAAATTTTCCAGTTTGGGTTACACGACAAAGGGGGAAAACTACATTTCTTACGGTAACAACAAATCCAAGATACTGTTAAACCCACACGAACAATGTACCAGTAATACTGAAAACCTAAATTATTTATTTCGAATCTGCATTCCGTGAGGTATGAAAAATATATTTTTTGTTTATGATATAGACATAAAATTTCAAAAGTAAAGAACATTTCACAAAACAAAACTGTCCACCACTATTTTCTTTATATTCTACTATATCTCAGAGGCACTTTTCAAATAAAACACGAGATTTGGGGTGAATCTACTTATAACCCCAATTATTGTTCTAGGTACCAAGATGTTATGGGACTACTGTAACATAAAAGAAAAATTCCATGTTATCATAAGAGTACATTCTGCTGCATTTATGCGCTATAGTGATGATTTCTGAAACACAACAAAGTGGTAGATTATGATTTGTTGACATGACTTGTCATATCACTTACAGTTAACAGGATGGGATCTTTAGCTATACGAGTGCTTTTTGCTCCACTTCAGTTTTGTTTGTACTCTATTTGTTATGTGTAAATATATCAATGAAAAGTTGTACCTTGTGAAATTGGGGGAAAAAATGCCACACAGAACAATCACAACATGGAAGATGAACAAACCTAACACTGTTCAACTTCGTGCGCAGAAGCATATTGTTATGACATAATTAAGACACGTTTACTAGCATTCCAAAAATGTTACACATACCATGTTCACCGGAACTTCAAGTGTTGTATTACATACATTTACCAGCATTTCATTTCTGTATTAGACAATACCACACTTACCGCTTGCTTTATTGTCATATTTATCAACAGTTCCAGAACTGTGTCACAGTACTACATATATTACTACATCTTAAGACATGTTTTACCAACCTTTAAAAACTCTAACACTCGGCACCATGTTTCTTTCTATATTTTCCATTTGTATACATGCTAATATTGTTCACCTCAACACTATTGAAACATCACAACATACTTTAATTGATCATCTTATGTATTCAAATTTATTGCAGGTATCATATTCACAACTAACAGTAATTAACTTAAAAACATAAAGAGCCCTAAGTTACAAATAAACTGGTCAACTATATTCATCTTTTCTGGTTTAGTATATTTACAAACACCCTCCCCAGGAATAGAAAAAGATTCATGATTACAATTTACTTTATTCACTATTTTATAATGGAAGAACAATATTTACTCCAGTATGTAACTTGACAAATCTACAATAAGCAAAAATACTTGTTAAAATAATGATATATACACAAACATGAAAGTACTTGTAATGCTAATAACTGTTAAAATAATGAGCTCATTTTCTACATATATACAAGAACTAGTGAAGAATTCTCCAGTAAGATGTAGTTTCATGGCATACTTAGAGAGTCAAACCTACAGCAGTTTACAAAATGAATAAGGCAACAAATTTCTCTAACATATGTTTCTTCATATTTTTATTAAAGTGCTGGTATGTTAAGTTATTAAAGAGAAGATGAACAAAACATTACACAGATAGGCCCTTATATAATAAACCTGAAGTTGCTGTCATGTTGGTACATAATCATCTTCTAAGTACTAAAACTATTTTCATTTAACCTGAGCAACAAATGAATATGTGCAAAATTTCTCTGAGTAGTAGTTACTAGCAATTAATATAAAAAGTTCCTATATTTACAAAAGAAAATGTAAATAACAGATGAAAATACATAAATAACATAACCAGAGAGTGAATAATGAAATATTACCAAGACATTAGAAGTCTGATATTCAACAAAATTAGTAACCACACTTTTCAAGTACATCTTTAAAGGAATGTTTGTATTAAAAAAATCATCATACAAAATGAAATATTGTGACACATTAGAATATATGTATATTTTCTAATATATGTTTAACAGAAAACAAGAAAAAAATTACAAATTCTACCACAGTTTTCATGGTAGAAAGAATATTCCTAATAATCCAATTTATAGACTGTCTATGGTATGATAACACATTTCAAGTTAGCTCTAAATTTGGCAGTGATGAAACTTAACACTAAAATAAACCTTCACATTCTTTGATACCTGTAAACAACATATTCACCTTTAACAAAGTACTTTGACAAAAAATATACTGAGGTTTGCTACTTTGTTGAATAGAGAAAAAAATACACAGATGACATATGTTCTTTTCATAGTTTCTTGATGATAAAGTGTGTGTTTTGACATTAACAAATAATGATATTCATAAACATCCTCAACAGTGTTATTTACTAAAAATAGTTAAGTTTTTAGAGAGAGAAATTAAAATTTTTTTGTGAAACATTATGGTCTAAACAAACCAGAAGGAAGTAATTTTGAGGTTTCTGGTAGGGATTTTATACGAATACAATTAAATTAAACTGTTACAATATAACAACTATGGCATATTTTGATCTTGCATAATGTATGAACGTCCTCAGAGAGAAAAATTAAACAGACAAAAAGGTCACTTACTTTTAAATAATGCATGAAATTTCAACTTCCTAACCTTTCATTTATTTCTAATGTCAGCTCCACAAAAAAAAAAAGAAAAGCAAATAAACAAGATTTCACACCAATCCCAAACACTGAAAAAAAGTAAATATAATTTTCACTTTTGTTAATTTTACAGTACAATTAAGTGTCCAATACAAAATGTACAACGTATAACTGAGAAAGGGTAGCAACTCTTTAAGCCTGTGCTAAAAACAAATCTTCGTCTTAACAAATGCAAACCACCACCTTTTGTAAAATCTAATACCATTACCTGATTACTAGCATGGGTAATCAAATACGAAGAGCTCCCTAGTATCATAATGGAATGTATCTTCCAAAGCCCTTTTGAAACACTATCTAAAACTTCATTAAGTATTTCTAGTCATACTGTTATAATGCAAAAGTTGCTTTCATTATTGTAAGTGATTTTAATAATTCTTAATTTTTTCTATATACTTAGCTTACTTTCAATAAAAAATTAAGTATTTTTGTTTTTTAATTTCAAAGTGATCATCCAAGAGCTCAGGTATGATCTTATAGTCAGGTATTTAACAAGTACCTAGCTAAAGTCCATGCTGATGCTACTAACTATTAGATTAAAAAACATACAGTGATTTAAACCTTTTTTTTGTATATCAAATAGGCTTAGCTGGTGAACAATATTCCTTGATTTGCTATAAACCAGATGATTACATCCTATTTCACACCCAACTGAAAGGTCAAGAACTAAATTTTTACATGTATAGATGGCCTTCTATAAACCATCCACAAATGAAGTACACAGAAATGCCAACATTCTACAAGACCTCCAAAGTGGTCTGGAGACAATGAAAACAGTTTCTAACTTTCTCGAGTCTTTAAAGATTGGTTATCCTTGCACCTTGTAAATTATATTTTACTGCTAGTGAAATTGAGAGGGCACAAATTAACTTTTTACTTAGTGCAAATAATTTATATGTATCACTTTATGCTTTCTTCAGAAGTTCTCTGGAAATATTTATATTGCAAGCACGCACCCACTCTCCTAAATGTCATAGCAACTTTTTGTTACTAAAAAGCTCAAATGTTCATGATTCTACACTTCCATTGAATTTCATCTTTATAAATCCTAAATGCCATGGCAATTTTGTGTGTTACCAAAGCCCTCAAGTGTTCATGATTCTATGTTTCCTTTGAATTTCATCCATAGCAACTGTGTGCCACTAAAAACTTCAAGTTTTCCTGATTATATGTTTGGTCTGAATTTCATTTTGTCTTGGTAATAGGCTGAAAATTCATCCACAATTTAAACTTTTCTAAATTAAAATTCTTTTTTTTTTTAAAAGTCTGTTGAGATCTTTTCCACCATGTACAACATTGATGTCACACCTACATACTTTACAAAAAATATTTTTCCTTGCTTTGATGTTAAAAATTGGGGCAAGGAGAAAGAATATTGTTTTATATGTTTGATTTTGTAAGGACATTATTTTCTTGGACAGGGTGCCCTTTGAGTTTGTATTGCTGTCACAAAAGCTCAAACAATATTAAATTTTGCAATTTTCTTCCATCCTTTGCATTATTTTTTAAGTTAGCCTTTTCCGTATATTAACTTTTGATACAATTAAAAACTAAAAATAGATATTGTTATTAATTTAAATTTTATTAGTTCTAGATAAGAGTTGGAGTGGTCACTGATAAAATCAGAGGCCAGAATTGTGCAAGTATTGGTTAGAAAAACTTTCAAAATCGAGGTTGTTGGCACCACTGAGTACATATTTACTAGTACCAAAGTATTTATTTTCCTTTTAAGAATTTTAGCTACCATAAATAATCTTTTTAATAATTATGCGTCACTTTGATATCACATTACAATATTGATGTTGAAAAGTGTCATTGGCAGAGTAATTTTTTTCTTTTTTCTAATTTCAAGGTCAATGTATTAAACATGCATGATGGTATGTACATGATTTCTTTTAATCAGTAGCTTCAAGGATGCAATTTTTTTTTGGGGGGGGGAGGGGAGGCTATGGCACATCATTACTACGCAATTTAAACACCAAGTTTATACCGATTCGACAAGTAAAAAAATATGTATTAAAATATATATATCATGTATATACTGAATGAAAAGCCAATTACATAAACTACTTATGCTACACAACAACTAAATAAAACTTAAAGAGCACTCATGACAAGCACTTGCTCTGTTACATTTTTTTTTATCAAGGGGATAAATTAATTCCCCTCGGGGATGATAATTGAAAGTGCAGTCACAGAGATGAAAAAGCAGAGCCAAGGAAATCCCACCCCCTCATCAAATTGCACCCAGGTAGTTTCTATGAGCATGCTTAATAAAAGCCTCACTATAAATCAAGTAACATCAGAAAATTTGAGCATACACTAAGATATATTTACTGAGATTTTTATGTATACTCTTTGGACAGCATATTTTCACTCCCAGTGCTTCATTCAAGTTGGTCTGCTTAACTGGGTTGAGAATTCTAACTCTCATACACCAACGATACAATTCTGATTATTACTTCATATTAGGTGAAACAAAATTAAACTTTATTCTGATGTTTTGGAGACTGCATACTAACATTCTTAATGTAAAATGAAAGGTTCTCAAGTACAGACAATTTAAAACAATCAATGAAGGAACTACCTGATATAAAGTGTAGAACAATATAACCACTGTGGAATTTTCACAGACTTAAATCTATAAGAATATCTGTTGTTCTGAATTGTGTGATTATGAACTACACAGCTGCCAAAATGCCATAATAAAGTTTTCTTTGTTGTTTAGTGTACATTAGAACATTTTTTTCAAGTAACATACACAAATACTTCAAACTAGTTTTAGCTATAAGGAATATTGGAAAAGTAACTAGTCTGGAATTACCCATCTGTTATACAAACCTTTACACGAAAACTTTTGTAAGCATCTACCACATTTAACAAAACCAGTGATAGAAGAGAAAAATCACTATAATTATACACACACACACACATAAAAATAATATTGGCACCTATGTCATATCAGATGTTTACTCATGATGTGATAAATTAATATGTATGTAGGTCTAAATTTATAAGGTAAAATTAAACCTATTATAAAACCATAATTCTACTTTCTTTTGTGATTAAACTATGAATTTCCTCTCAATTTGAAAAATTACTTTTACATTGAAATTATATTTAAATACTTATGATAATTTGATTAAGACCAATGAAAACCTATAGTTTAATATTCACACAAACACACACACACTACTTGTCATTCCACAATATTTTTCTTATGTAATAAACATATTTTTATTTGTCAAGTGACTTTCTATAGTTCAAACATCTAAACTTCACTGAAGTGAGACTTAGTTGTTTTTTTATGAAAGGATACATGAATTATTTAGGTTTGTCTACAAATAAAATATCTTAAAACATATCAACAGTTAAACATAGTCCCTAATGTTTATTATGTTAATTTGTGTAGGTCGTATATTGTTCTTGAAGATGTTATCAAACCTAAAGCTAAAAACTTCGACTGTTGTAGTTGAATGTAAAACTAATTTCTAACAATATTTAAACCTGAATTTTAACAAAAAAATATTTTGTGGAATTTTACTGGTAGCAATAACCAAAGCTGAACATATGTATAAGTAAAACTGTACATAATGTCTCTGAAAGTTCACAATGGCAATAGCCTCAACATCATTATATTACAATCTTTATGAAGGAGATTTTACAAACACTAAAATATTTTTAAAACCATTACAAGAGCTTAATTAGTTAAAGGGAATTTCTTCATTTTTCAAGAAGCATTTACATAATTATAAAAACTGTTCAATAAAAGAAAACAAATAATTACAACAAGTACAGATCTTTATCTTATACAAATTGAAACTATAGCTTTTGTTCTACTGCAACTTCATCAGTAGAATGAGGTGACTTTTTTGCCACAGTTTAAATGTCCAATAAATAGTGAATAGGAACACCTGCATTCAAAAGTGGTTATTATGAAACTATAAATCTGGAATAAAACAGACATTCTGTCAATACTATCAATGTGAAGGAATGTTGTTTTAAAAGTGTATTATTCCTACACACAACACCGTACATGTATATTTAACAATCTGTCTTAGCTAAAATCAGAATTGTTCAACCAGGACAGAATTTCTCCAATTATTAAAAAAAAAAAAAAAAAAAAAAAACAAATTGAGCATCTTCGTAATGTATGAGACAAACATTTTCGGACTGAGGTTGTATATGTAACTTGTTTCCTGAGGTAAACTGATGAACCAAAGAAAATTCTTAAATATTGTACTCTTAAAAAATGCTGTTCCATTACACACATACACACATAGAAACACAAACACTCATAAAAAAATGCTGTTCATCTTGTGAATCATAAAACCCTCTGAAGTTAGATCTGGTGAATAAAACAAAATGTTAAAACCATTGTACGATGATACTGAGGTAAATACAAAAGTTAAATGTACAAGACAAATTTTTCTACAGCTATTGGTCAATGTAACACAAAAAATGTACATCTAGCTGATGAAAGTAGTATTCAACATGAACCAAATAACTAAAGCAGCTGCTACTACATGGCATTCCCATTTATCTCCACACTAGAGGGTGACATAATCTTGCTGAAGGCACAACAGAGTCTGTAGGTGTCGAAGACTTCAACCCTCCTCCCTGCTTGTGGAGAATTCAGATGCTGGGAATTGGACTAACTGTGAGCAAGTAAGTGTTGGAGAGGTAGTAGTTGGGTTCTTCATATCTGTAAATACACTAATATTTTACTATCTATCTTGAATGTCCAAAATAAATAAAACGTAATGATAAATCTATGAAGATAAACTTACCAGATGTGATAAGTTCATTTCCAAAGTCTGATTTGTACAGTAATGATACCCTTTCTTGCACACAGCTAGCAGAGAGTCTTGCCTCGGCATCATGATCCCAACATTCTTCAATAGTGCTGCATAAACTTGCTATGCCCTGGATAAAAAAGCCATACATTTAACTAATCACCAATGGAAAGTTGAACAATTCAATATATAATATTCACGGTTAAGTACACTTATGGTAGGTTTGTGGCAATCAGATGTCAACTGTTGTAATGGTTAGTACGATCACCTAAGTGTAATAGTTAATTAGTAGTTTTTACTTTTTTATTATTAATTACATACTAATTACTAACTAGTTTTTATTCTATGTTTCAGTTGCTAATCTGCTGCTACCTTCATGGAAGTACTAAGAAAGACTATTTGATCCTGGGTCTTCTTGATGGCAAAAAAAAGAGGTGTATTAATGTAGAAGACATCAGCTGAGCCAAATGATAAAGGCTAATTAGTAATTAGACTTAGAGTATCATGGCAGCAATACATGCATAGTGTTTTCAGTTGTCTTGTTCTCACCAAAGTGAACCTATATTTACATACGATTTGAAGAATATGTAGCAAAAATGTTAATAATTTATTCTTCTGTATTATTCAGCAAACAAGATGTTTAATACAGAATAAAATGAAGCTCAACTATCATTTGATTCACCACTTGTCACAGAATTTTACCAGTTTTAGGAATTCCATCTCTCATCAGTAACACTGAATAATGTATGGCTCATCAGTAAATGAAACCTAGTCTTGTTCTTTCAATTTACCATTGTTCATAGTTACTAATAAGGACTGGAATTCTCTATTAGAACTCAGTGACAAGTGGTGAATACAATAATATATTTGGCCTCATATGTTAGTAAATTAATCCTTATTCAAATAAAATACAAGTTAACATTTTCCTCAATCTCTAGGGTTTCCACTCTTTTCCAATCTATGCACTGAAAAGCTTGCTCCATTTTTTATACCCCACTAGATTGCTATAGCAAATTCTAATTTGCAAAATTCTCCACCAACTTCAATGTACCCTCTATCTAGGTACTGTATATAAGCACTTCATTCAGATAATGTAATTACTTTTTTGAGATATAAACTGGCTTTTAGTGAGGAGGTAGGGCAGGAGAGTGTCAGCTAAGGTAAGTATTATTGGAAATACACTTCCAGTTTAGGAATATGTTAACTTCCAAAACACACTTACCTCTGCTGACATTATAGCTAGAATCCCACTTTGAGAAGGTGGAGGGGCCAGTGCAAGCATCAACTACACAGAAAGCATCTGTATAGAACAGGAGTATACCAAGATAATGATGGTACAAGAGTGGGGGAACCGCACTACATCCAGAACAGGTATGCTCTTCACCTGGAACTTAGTTCCTATATCAAAGGTGGAATAGAATGAGTAATTGTCAGAATAGGCCGGCCCCAACCAGACAGCTGAAGTTCCACAACTCGGGGGTTGTAATTAAGGGGTCGTGGTACCTATAACCCACATTGGTGGCTAGGGCTATTGGACTGCAATGTTTCATATATATATACACACACACATATACTTTTGAGTGGATCCCAACCTGTTGCCATAGAGTGATGTGTTTTGCACCACCAGAATCATGACAAGAAAGTAAGCAACACCAAAATGGACAAACTTTTTCCTCCACTTGAAGAAGTCCAAAGACCAACACCCCAGGCTAAGAATGATGGGGTGGTGTATGCCATACTCAAACAAAGGAACAGAATTCATCTGGTCTGAAATTATGAACACTCTCTAACCAAATGGGCAAGGAGTATTCCACTTGCCCCTGGAATTATGGAGCGGACGTGGAACCTGTGCTCAACCAAGGACCTAGGATGGGACCACTTCGTTTTGGGGATTATGAGGAGATAGTGGACCGCTTTCCATGAACAATACATGAAACCAACACTGATCAAAGAGAAGGGCATGCACCCCCCAAAAAGATAGCTTCATGTCAAATCTGAACCAGAATTACGACTAGGCTCCTGCAGAGGTTGGTGCCATTCCTACTGACATCTAAGAATAACATCCAGGGATCCAAGAAAGAGGGCCTCCAACTCAAACACTCTAGAAGAAAAGCCTCTGTCTGCCACCTCAGTGACTGGAAACTGGGGGTGATAAGGACTCCTGATCATTGGGGGAGTCCTAAGGAACAGTGCTCTGGAAACTGTGCAATAGGTGAACCAAGATCCCTACATTTTTAAAAGCAAACCGACCCCGAATCATTCAATGTGAAGATTGGCAGGATCCCTTTTAGCTTTACACATGACATTCCATGATTGGTGGTCCATAATAATAAGGTAATAGTATATGGGATATGGTAGATACTTGAGGATGAAGAGGCTTTAAATTCCTTTTAATACACCACTGATGATAAGTATTCCATTTCTGTTGATAAATGGACATGGTTGGCCTATGGAGAGATTTAGTTAAATACAGAGAAAACTTAGAAGTTAAACCCTTATGTCGGGCAAAGAACCGCATAACTTCCAAGCATGAAGATTGAGTTACTGAACATCTGGGTGGAGTATGTCTGATCAAGGGTGTCTCAATAGAGACTGCCAATGTGGAAGATGGACATTCCTGCATATACCGAAGAAGCGGAAACCACGTTAGAGCTGGCCAGTATGGTGCAACCAAGAAAACTTGACAGGGAGTGGAACAAACTAGAACCCGGGGCAATAGCTGAATTGGTGAAAGGCATAAAGATGTAAACGTATTCAGTCCTGACTGAATGCTACTACCGTCAATGCTTGAGGATGAGATATTGGAGACCAAAACAACTGCAGTTGAAATTTCAAATGAGTCACAAAGGCATCAATCATTGGAAACCCAAACTGAGAGCAAATCCACTGAAAAACCTCGTGATGTAGCATCCATTTCATCGGAGGAATCTAGTTGGGTCAAGACAAGTGATTTGCAATTAAATTCATCATTCCTGGAACATGACATGCTAAAAGACTGATATGATTGGAAGGAGCCCAGTAAAGAAGATCCAAATATGAAACAAAGGTCTCAAGAATGTGTGCCTCCTTGATGAGAAATCTGAGATACCATCATGTAACTGTCAGAATGTATCATGAAAATTATTCTCTTCAAGAGAGACAGACCTTGAATCATTGCCTGATGCACTGCAACGAGTTTGCGAACATTGATATGGGGGTAGACTCATCTTCCATACAAATACCTTGGAACTCCTGACCTTGAAGATTAGCTCCCCATCCCTGAAGAGATGGGTCTGTGGACAGATGGATTCCGGGATGAAATGGTGGAATGTGTACCCCAATAGCAGTGTTGTTCTGATCCAAACACCATTTGCAATTGACAATGTTGTTCCTGAGTAATGAGACAAGATGATCCAAAGGAGCAGAATGCATGATCCATTGGTCGTGCAGTAACCACTAAAAAGACCTCATATGTGTTCATCTCAAAGGAATGAGAGACTCGAGGGATGCCCACATCCCCAAAAGAGAGTGAACCACCTGCGCAGTAGGACAAGGAGACACAAGTAAAAGCCTCACAGCTCTTTCCATGGCTTGAAGCCTGATAGGGGTTGGTTAAGTAGGACTTAAGTGAGTATTGAAAATCACACCAAGTAGGACAAGATATTATGTCAGTGACAAAATAGATTTCTCCAGCCTGATAAGGAATTCCACTTTTGTGGCTTCTGAAAGCAGAATCTGAGAGAGTTGTTCTGCTAATTGATGGGGTGATGCAAGAAGGAGTCAGTTGTCCATATAATGATGTGTGCACAGGCCCAAGAAATGCAGATGACGAGAAAAAGTTCAAACAACTCTGCAGAAGACACAAGGTGCTGCTGCAAGACCAAAAGGAAGAGCCCTGAACTGCAGCACCTGACCCTTGTGTACAAATCTGAGAAACCTCTAGGAAAATTCTGCTATGGAAAAATGCAGATAAGCATCGCTAACACAGAACTTGGTCATCCAGAGCACTGAAGCAAAGTGACATAGTAGGTTGAGAAAAGATTCCATAGTAAAGTGAGGATGATCTAAAAATTGGTTGAGTCTAGACAGGTCGATGACTGGATGCCAATCTCCTATCTTCTTGGATACAATGAATTAATGGAAATAAAATCCTGAAATAATGGGATCGACCCTCTCTACTGCCCTTTTGACTAATAACTCTCTTATGGCATGGGAACAAAGCTCCACTTGCCATGGATCTGTTGGAGATGAAAAAGCAACAGTTTGTGCAGATAAAGGTGGAGGTGATGTAAATTGAATGACCAACCCTGAAGGCAGAACATGGAGTACCCATTGAACCCTGGTGAAAGATCTCCTGATGTCCAGAAAGTGATGTAATAGTGCTTTCACTGCTTCCCCACCTATTGGATAGTCATTGATGCAATTATCGACGGTCCGTTCAAGCGGAAAATCATCAAGAATATGGATGGAGAGGGTGGAATACACTACGAACTGACACTCCCAAATTAGCACCAGAAAGATGATAAGCCAACGACGATAAAGAACAATGTAAACTAGCTGAATCAATTTGTGATTCTAACATATCTGGACTTCTGGCAAACAACATGCATGGGACGTAGAAAAGGAGCTTCTCGTAACTCCCTGACAGCAGAAAATGGTAAATGAACACTTTCTAATAAAACATCTCTACCCAGTAAATCCAATAACAAACTAGCCAGGAATTCAGAAAAAGAACTGAAAAAAACAATCTGACTGAGGTAGACATCAGCAAAATCCCAAACTCATCCTCAAGTTGCTGATGGGAACGTTGATAACCTTCCAACAAAAGTTGCATCAAAGATAAATACCTCTGGACAGTCGTGAGCATAAGACAAATCCAAGAAAACTGGCATCTGTATAACCCTATCAGCAAGGGTTCCCTTTACTGCGCATGACACAAGGTTTTAGTGTCTTACATTCAAAATTTTATTAAACTACTTTTTGTTTATGTTATACCAATTAGAATAGCATAAAATCTTAGCTAATCCATATTTTAATAGTATACAAGTTTTAAGTTCTTAATTATACAAGGAAATATTAAAAACAATCCTGAATTTCCACTAGTGTAACACACATGACAAATTTTGTCTTAGCATGTCATCATCCCAATTTTATCCATCACCCCTCGAAAATGTATGAAATTTTGTTTTGTTACAGAGCTATCAAAGAGAAATTCAGACACCTTCTGCCACACCCACCTGTCAAATTCTCTCTTTCACTATTGGTTGATAGTTCTCTCTTAGGTTTCATTATATATTATTTATAACCAATAGAAAGTCATGATTTTCATCTATCAAATGGCGTATTCTATAGCATTGTGTTCTAAACAGATAACCGTCAATGTCACTCGGAGTAGCTATTTTGTTCCTGTGGGAAAGTTAACGACTAGCTTGGATGAATAAGACCACAGAATAATAATACACACAACTCAAACAATGTCCTGTAACTATCACAACTTATCTGACTTTCTAACTATGTCATAAGAGCCTTTAAATTTTACTTTAAACTTGCTGATATGACCACTGCAAAAGAAACTTTCAAACTGAAGATGAAATAGACAATACTCTGTACTGAAAACAATGTAATATAGAACATCATTTGATATATTCAAACTTTGGCTTTCTATTGGTTACAAATGATATAGTATAAAACATCAGAAAGAACTATTGGCAATTAGTGAATAAAAGGATTTGACATGTGGGCATAGCAAATGAGTCTGATTTTCTAGTTTATGACTCCAGAAACAAACAAGATTGAAAGCTATAAAAATTACACTTTCCCTTAATTTGATTTATTAAGTACATTTTGATGCCAAGTTTATTCCTATACAATTATAACATAATTTAATTAAATTTTGAATGTAACTCTCTTAAATGCACACTTTGATCTACCTGTAATGAGAAGGCTAAATGGTACACTTATTTATATATTAGTAACTTTTATGTCATATTCGACGAATGGCAGGATTCTAATTCATAGTCTCACATCTAAGCAAGATTAAATACACTTTTGTTAAAATTATCTTACTAAACTCATTCACATTCTCTTTTGAATGAATCACATGGAACGAAAGCATAACTCTTACTGCTACATTTATAGATAACTCACCTCATGCAAGGTACACAACAACAACAAAAAAGAGACCCTTTAATATTTCATTACTTATCTGAACCTTTTCTTCATGCTGGTACAAACTTCCAAGTTCCTGCGGCAATTCTTTAGAGGGAGATATGTATGTTTGATGGTAGTGAGAGGGATCAAAATGTCCACATCTCAACCTTGTACAGAGTGCCATTCAACATGGTATTAAATATTTGATGTTACAATTATCAGCATTTTATGTTACATTCATGAATTGGCAGTAGTTCATGTCAGAGAAAATTCCAAATACAATGTACAGGAATACTGGAAAAAACCATTCATCATACCTCCTATGTCATCCTCTGTTTCCAAGTTATTCCTAAAATCTGCCATAGCAACTACCATCAAAACTATCCAATTCCATTGTCTTGACCATGTCAAGCTTTCTGTCCGATACAGCATCATGTGTGTGAAATGCCCAAGTCAGAGTGCAGGATGATGTTCATGTGAAGAATGAAAATATTCTCGTCCATCTTAAAGATTGCATATTACATTTGCATAACCCCTACAATAATCTAAATGCATATTTAAATTTATTGGACAAAAGAGAATGATCTGGCAGAGGAGTGTTGTTTTACCTGGAAAAGGTTGGCAAGAAAGGTGGACACATAGTAAATGCATGGACCCAAGAAGAAATCCAAAAAGGTAGAAGGATAGCATGAGCTTTTGCCATGGTGTCACAACCAGCATTGAAAGATGGTATGAGCTACTGCCATGGTGTCATGACCAACATTGAAGGATGGTATGAACTACTGGCACGGTGTCACAACCAAGATTGAAGGATGGCATGAACTGTTGCCATGGTGTGATAACATGCATTGAAGGATGGCATGAACTACTGCCATGGTGTCATGACCAACAATGAATGATGGCATGAGCCACTGTAATGGTGTCATGACCAACATGGAAGGATATCATGAACTACTGCCATGGTGTCATAACCAGCATTTTGAAGGATGGCATGAGCTACTGCCATGGTGTCATAATCAACAATGAAGGATGGCATGAGCTACTGCCATGGTGTCATGACCAACATTGAAGGATGGCATGAGCTAATGCATTGGTGTCATGATCAACCTGAAAGTTTTTTTCATGTACCAACTGCAAATTCAGAAGCACTGTTCCAAGTTTTTTTCCACTACAATAACCATCTAAAGATTATGGTAGTAGTACTTCAATCTGATAGGCAAGCATTCAAGCTACAGCCACCTCTGGGATATTGCTTACAATTTTCAATGAAGACGATAAACAAATTCGAATAAATTTTAATATATTCTTCCTGATGTTTTGGCTTTTGCCTTTTTCAAGGGTCTATGAATGTCACAGGAATATTTTTTAGGACAACAATTTAATGACCTTTAATAAGAGTGATTCTTCACGGTTTTGGGTGAAAATTTGATAAGGGCATCAGACCATATTTCATGGATGCTATCTGTAGTTCAGCTGTCCTTTCAATTTAATGCATGCTGTGATATCCTCTGTAATACACTTGGTGTAATTGAAAGACACAAGTAGTTTCACTGAAAATGCTATCTCAACAGAATAAAAAAGTTACTAGGTTACTTTCTTACTTAACCCTTTCCATGTGAAGTTTTTTATTTTCCTTTTTGATAGCACATTGTAAGACGTTATAACATGCAAATAAATTCAGGCATATAATTAAAAATACTCAGGCAAATACTTTTTTGAAACATGGAGCTTGGGCAAATAATTGGAAGGGATTATTACAAACAGGAAATTGTATAAAAGTAAAACAAGAGAGCAAAAGTATTTTATGTCAAACAAGTAGTTAGATTTAAAAAGAAATATCAGTTGTCAAACATATTGCAAGGTTATTTATCTTTCCAGATAATGTGAAATTGTATTTGTCAAATAACCTCAGCATTAACATAGTACATAGAGAGAAATTCTGACTTTTTTATATATATACACTTACAGGGTGTTTTTTCCATGAACTTTTGAACTTCGGCCTAGCTTTCTTTTGTACTACAATTTCCTGCATGTCTTCAAGAGTTGGGTGTTGACCAACTTCTTCTTCAAATGGAAGTGTGTATTCCCCTACAAGACCTAGGAAAGATGAATTGAAATGTGCAATTTACTGGAATTTTAAATTTAAAGCATAAATAATGAACTTTAGGAATGCAAGTTTTTCCACACTGTCAGAAAATGTAAGTTCTTCAAAAATTTAGATAAAATATTACTCTTAATTGTGCTATGAAATAGGTCAGGTATTAATAAACACAAACCATAACCTGATCAAATTAGTGCCATTTTGTGAAACCAAAACAGCCCAGTTGTATAAAGAAAATGTCAGCAAGAATATTCAATCTTTTCAGGAAACTAAATTGTTTTATTTGCATATACACCAGGTATGTCATCACATCCACCTACCATCTTGGGCACAGCATCTAGATAACAGCTCCCATAAGACTAGTCCACAAGCATACATATCTATCCTTAGAAATGCATCCCTGTTGAAATTGATGGCCCCTTCTAGGACCTCTGGGGCCATATATCTTCTTGTCCCAACCTAGAAATGGGCGAGTAATCCTATTTTATTGTACAGACATTTACTCAAAAAGAAAACACTCACTATTTTGAACAACATTATAAAATACCACTACAAGATTTGCATGTTGCTGAAATATGAATATGATAAAACATACAATTCAAAACTATACTGTTAAGAAAAATACACATCATTAAAATGCTATCATAATGTATTGCCATCGACTGAGCTCTTCCTATACTACTTAAGTATTTGGTCCTTAAAATATATGTTGATTTTCTTCTACTGAACTTAGGAATTTCAAATTCAAGGTTTAATAAACCGGATGTTTAAGTGGTATTTAAGATGATAAATGAAATTATGAAATACATTAAAATGAAAGTCTCACTGATCAAACATTTATGCTCCTACACTGTAGTTTACAAGTAACATTATGTAAAGGCTGATGGAAAATTAATAAACTATACCTTATGTCCTAGTGATATAACTAATTTCAGGCTTGTAATATTATACAAACACCGTATAGCTCACTTTTGTAACACTGTTTTCAATGTACCTAATACGAACACACAAAAACATTTTACTTCTGTATACAAATTATTTATCTATTAGAAATCTGACTACAAGTCTATTACTAGGGATAGTTTCTTCAATTTGTCATTTGATTTGCTAAATCAAGATCTGCCACAAAGCATTTATAATACCTGATATTTCAATCATGGAGGGGGGGGGTTTCAAGGTCAAGTAATAAACAATCAACAGAAAACAAAATTTATTATTAGATTTAAAATTTTTTTTTTTTATGTTATGAGTACAGGATAAAAACATTAAATAGCTTTTGGCTTACTAAAAGATTTATGTGAACAAAGAGAAAGAAATAATTTTAAGGGTTCATTAATGGTCAATTATACCACATACACGATAACACAAAAAGTGGCTAACGATGAGGTTTATTCATACTTTATAACAACAATATCTATAGGGTTTTGAGTACATTTTACTACAACAACTCATTTTGCTATGTGACAATTTGTAAAGAAATTTCATCAAATTCATTATAACCACAAAGTAACCATCATAGTTTCCATACAATAAATTTTAATTTTTATCTCTATGAAATTTGGCAAACTTTCAGTAAACATTACATAAAAAAATCTGATATCTTAATAAATTTTACTAAAATTTGTCTGTTAACTCTCTCAATTTGACTGACACATGACCTCTTTGTATTCATTTAAAGTTTTTATAGATATATATAATATAGTGAGTATATCTCTATGAAATTTGGCAAACTTTCAGTAAACATTACATAAAAAAATCTGATATTTTAATAAATTTTACTAAAATTTGTCTGTTAACTCTCTCAATTTGACTGACACATGACCTCTTTGTATTCATTTAAAGTCTTTATAGATATATATAATACTTT